TTTTTTTTTTTTTTTTTTTTTTTTTTTTTTTTTTTTTTTTTTTAATTATTATTAAAATGTATTCTGGATTAAAATTATCTTTATGGTTGCAAAGGTAATCGCAGGAAGAAAAGCCTGAAGCCAGACAGTTGTCAAAGAAACTTAAATCCTCTCCATTTTGTATGCAAACCATGATGAGAAACTACTAATAGGATAACATATTACTTTCCCCTCAAAATACCCTAATCAGGAATCTAAGTAGGGTTCCAAGGGCAACTGAAATTTCAATACTTTCTAACTTTTTCAGGAATCTTTGATGGAATTCCTGGCATATCCTATAAAACTGTATCACTTACTATTAAAGATACTTTATCTGCAACAAATTAAAGATTTCAAGAGCTATATCAATGGTACATATCTGAAAAGACTTAACAACCTTTAACATCTTTCTGATGAAGAACTGCATTGTTTATAGATGGGCAAGTTGATTCACATGTTCAATTAATGATACTTAAAGTCTGCCAATTTCATTATATTCCTTTCCACTGAATTCTTTTCTACTGTATCTCCCCCTACTACTTTTGGAAATGAAGGTTACAGTAAGCTCTGAATGACTTCCAACAATGCTAAAAAGACTTCATTTCAGCAAGTGCATTACAAAATTCTTCTCTATCAGCAGCTATCATTCTACAGCCTTTGTACTTACTCTCATTTCACAAAAATTAATCTGTAAATAAATACTCCTATTCAAACTACAATGAAAAAGTGCATCCATCATTTACTTCAACTCCAAATTCAAAACCAGTGCATGACCCTTAATTATTTATACATTCTTAGTATTTAAAAAAAAAGATTTTACCTATTTTTTTCTCAAATATATTATTTTGCCTCTTCTATAACTATCTGTAATGAACTTCCTGTTTTTTTTCCCTGTGTTTTAATTTAGATTCCTTATTAAAACACTTCTCCACTCCATGAAATTTCATATTGGTTCATCTTATCTTCTGCAGTTGTAATTAGTATTTTCCTCATATTATCACATAAATCTTGATATAACGTATGTGTTACCTGGTGGATCTTCCGTTAAATAAAACAATTTTTGTGTAATATTTTAATCTAGTAAGGTATATTACTAAGTTTTCAGGGAGATGTCCTCTCAAGTTTGTAGGCAAATTACATTTATATCTTTGTGCTCTTCTACCTAAAACCCACAAATCATGTTCTCCCCAAAACAGGGAAAACATATTTCAATTTGGAAATAAAACTTCCTTCTTACTGCCAAGAAAGGAACAGCAAGTTATTAACTATTTTTATTTGCTCACCAATACAGTAAGGACAACATTGTCCCTTTCTCAAAACAGGTCTCTCACAGGATACCGGTGGGCAAGACTCAGAGTAACATCTAATCACACCATCCATGCAAATGCAGCTAGTGCAGACATTGGGCTTCCAGGACTCAGCTGTCAGAAAAATATCTCCTTCATCGTTTTTGCAATAACTGGGCATGCTCTCGTTGCTTGAAGAGGGCTGAAGAGGCTCATCTGTAAATATCAACAGATTAAGTTATTTAAGTTAAAGTAGCTAACTTCTACCCTATTTCCTCAACAGAGAGTTCACTCTTGAAGAACACAATGGAATTGCAACACGTTGGCTCACTACTTCAGAAAATCTAGAAGGACAGAGCCTTATGCCTACCCATCCAGTCCTTACATGTCCTTACATATGATGAGGATCTATGTAGACCTTCACTAAGGTTACTGGGAAGAAAAAAAAAAAAAAGAGAGAAAAAAGGACAGCAAAGTGAAAAACGATCACCATCAGAAGCAGCCCCTCAAAAAGCTACTTTGAATGTTCTGAACTGAATGGTATTCAGGAATTCACCTTAAATTAGAGAGGTTAAATTTTAAATCTAGAACTTGAATCCCAGCTTCTGCCATGTCAGTTCAAATCCTTGAATGATGCAAACTGAAAAGCTATTATGCTGCTGTCACCTTTGCTAGTGGACTTATGTGAACTATTTATAAGATGTTGAGAAACAAATGGAATTTGACTGGGCTCCAGCTTTATGCCAATGGTTCTGCTTTAATTCTCATGCCTGCACATGGGGAAGATGTATTTCTGCACTGAAGCTGTACCTTGATCCAGACATTATGGATCAAGAAATATGACTGTATGTGCAGAGAATATATAAGAAAAGGAGAAGAAAAAGGATTCATAAGGGCTCAGGTTCTCAATCTAACTGTGTAAATTATAAGACTAAGCTTCTTATATATTCAGTGAGGAAAGATCAAAATACTGTTTGGATGAGCTGAAGTTAAGCAAATGTTCAGTGTTATTAATAACAAGAAAAAAAATATCAGTCAGGAGAACCAGCTAATTTTTTTATTGAAAATATTTTGTCAGAAAAAAACACCTAAAAAAACAGCAAACACCCTGTAGAAGAAATGACAAAACCTAATTATTTTTTTTCCTGAAGTAAATTTTTTAGGTTTTGTTTTTAATAAAGACAAATATATTCTCAGTGAGTTTACATACAATTCACAGATTTGGACTAAATTTCCACTGCTGTAAAGTCCCCCATTGGCTATGTAAAATAGGAATTCATGTTTATTTATAATTGCATCTCTTTCCTGGGGGGTGGGGTGGGGGAGGTGTGTGTGTGTGTGTTGCAGGCAGGGTTGGAAAACCTGTTACCTTCTTGACAATGTGAGGCACTCTAGGAGGAATCTGGCACACCTGCTGGGCTGGAATGCTTTGATATTACTCAGTTGCCTTCAAGTCACTCTCAAATCATACCAGGTGAAGGTAAAAGCAAACACAAGCATTTTTGAGACCAAATCCCAAGTAGACAAGATAGCAATAAAAAGGTTCATAGAAACTAAGGCATGTATAAAGGAAAGAAACAAGCCTGTATCTGCTAAGCACTTTCACTACTTTTGAAGTTTCTCTCATCTTGCATGTTTTCATAAACAGGCCAGTGCATATTTCATAAGCCTTCCAACTAAGGATTCTGGTTCTCATGCAACCCTACATTATTAGATTGCCTTCAAAGATGTTCAGACTTCAGGGCCACAGCTCCCCTTAACATAAAAGACATCTCTTGCACACAGTCAAGTTTTGCAGTTGAAATGGAGGACTGCAGGCTCTCACTCCAAACTGCTAAAGAACAAAGGCACCACAACAACCAACTGTGCACACACTGAAACATCCAATATTCACATCATACATTCTCAAATCAAAAAGGACTCTTAATGAAAGCTGGTTGTCAATATATACCTGGGCACTGTGGACAGCAGGAGTCCTGTGTGCGGGTGGGGTTTTGACAAAGAAGAGGTGGACAGACTTCAGTCTCACACAGGACACGTCCACTGTGGCATGTACATTGTGTGCAAGAATCAATATTCCATGTCTCTCCTTCTACAAAGTATTCCCCACCAGGAGCATGACAGATTGATGGACTGGTGAGCTCTGGCTTCTGCACAATTATTTCATCTGGGAAAAACAGAATTGGAAGACAGGCAAAAATCTGCTGTGACTTTAACAAGTAACAAATGTACCCAAGATTAATATTTTAAATAATAACAGAAATTATTATGAATAATAAAACTAGCTATAAATATATTCTTAATGAAGCTCTTTCAATTTTATGTCACTTTTGAATTTATGTCAGCAGTATCTCATTGAAAGCGGGAAAAATATAAACAAGAAAAAATTTGAGAATCAGTTTGAATAAATGCAAAAATTATACTGATTGGACAGTTTCATAACTGCTAAATACTAGCATCAGTGCAATTCCTGAAAGGATGGATAGGTACGTTTCTTGTCCGGGATTTAGGAAGTCCAGATTCAACTGTTTGCCTTTAAGTTTCCTGAGTGATGTGTCTGTACCATTTGGTGTCAGATCAAAAAGAAAAAAAAAATAGAAAAAAAAGAGAAAAACACAGAATCCTCCACCCAACCTCCTAAAAACACGTAAGCACTGAACACTGGTGGAAGTGCTTCAACATTTTGTTCCATTAAAATAAATAACTAAATAAAAAATGATCTGCAGTCTTTGAAGTAATAAATGCAACCAAGGAGACACCACAGTTCACTCATATTTCCAGTGAATACGTCTCATTAAATTAACCTTACTTCTTTTTCAAACGATTAATTATATTACCTCTAGAGTCCTGGCTAAGAGACTCACACCTCCTCTAACCCAGGCAGACAGGGAGTTTAGAAAATAGATTTGATCTCCTTCAGGTTAAGAAAGGACCTGGAACTGTTTCTCTTGTTCAGCATGAGTGATCTCCAACTACTGAGGTATTAAAAAAATGGGGGAATTCTCTTTACCTCTTGGTGTTTTAAAAAAAAAAAGAGGAAACCTGCTATGCACTTTCAAAGTGTTTAAGCACTTACCATCAAGAAAGATTATGCCACAAACTCCATCCCCATAGCCTGCTTAAAATGTTTTGAAGCCCACACCCACATAAGGGGCAATAAGGGCAATAATAGCAGTTGCCAGCTTACCATGCTGGTTGCTTTGGACCTGGAGCAAGTTCATCAGCTTTTTCCATGCACTGTGTATAGGAATCGAGATGACTCACATAGCATGGTTTATTCAATGACAGGAGCCATGAGTTTGAAAGTTACATACTGCAACATGAAGCTTCAGGCTCCTAAAGTCACGTTGTCCATAAGTCTATATTCAACCCATCTAACATTAGACAACAAATTAAGTGCCTCTGTCAAGAACTGAGCTATCTCATGTTTCCTGTGCTATGAAGGAAATGAGAAAGGGACTTCCAGTTAATGACTCTGCATCTCTAAACCACTTTCTGAAGGTGTCTCTCTTCTACTTAATTATAAAGATGCCTAATATGAACATCATCCTACTCAAAATATCTTGGTTAAAGGACAGAAAAATTAAATGGATAGCAGCTCCTCTAGTCATTTAGGCAGCCCAACGCTCACAAAATACATGTGCTTCTCTCCATATCTGTTGCACCGCTGTGTCTGGAGAATGGCACTTGTGTGCTTTGCTCTATGACATCGCCATGTAGAAGATACACCACTCAATTATTTGTTTTCACTTCTGAAGAATGATCAGTAGAACTCAAGGAACATGACTCCGGCCAATCTAAGTCTATTCACAAAGCAGACGTGCATTTCTTCTTTCAGGGAATTATTTTATCTTTCACTGATATGTTTTTCCTATTGCTTACATTTATGAACCACATATATGTTTCAGTAGCATTTACCTGAAGCGGTCTGCTGCCTTGTCACTGTTTTTATTTCAACTGCCACAATATATTTTATGCAATGACATCCTAACTTATCATGGCATAGGCAATGCTAATTGTTTTCTGGAATTTTTCTCAGTCATCTCCTTTGCATTTATTTCTCTGCAAAGTCACTGGCATGTTTTACAACAGCTCATATACTGCTTATAATCAGAAAAGCATAATCATAGTATTGCTGTACATATGGTATGGCTTACTGCTCCCTTACCAGCACTGAGACCGATATATCACTGCAACTGAATTGTTAGAAGCATACAACTATTATATTCCTGAAAGAGCAACTAGCCAAACAAATACACTCTTCCTGGGAAGCATGGTTCTGCAAAACACTAGCAGTTAACGGCTTTCTAAATCTTACAGGAAACCTGGAGCTTTTCACAAGCATCGACCATTCACTTAAACCTCTTAATATAATTGAACAAACCCACATTTTTCAGTCTGAATATTTTCAATGAAAATGAAAATGAAAAATTTCAGTGAAAATTTTCAGTGGGAGAAACAAAACCACACTGAGGCTAATTCGGCCGTATTAATTCATATACTCACATATACAATTGCTTTTAAAAAAATGCTGTGTCTATCCTAACATTACAAGAGTTTAAACAAAGTATGACTTTACTAACATAGAAGCTAGGTGACTAGTACCTCAAAAGCAGGAAAGGATGTCAGACAAAGAAACCTACATAGCCACCATATTTCAAAGGAATGGACACTACTGGGTAAGCAACTGCTCTTTTATAAAAGAGACCAACATTGCTGGTGCTCAGAATCAAACACTAATCTCATCCAGAAAAAATGAGAAGATAGCTACTGCTATTTCTTATACTGATCTTTCTTCCATGAACTGAACATAAGGCCTATAATGGAGGTACCCACACTCATTCTCTGTACACAAAGTAACTAACTACTGGTGCTGCTGAAAGATCAAAACTAACATGAGTCTTATCTGAATGCCCTAAGGTGTTCTGTATATGTTAGGTAAATCAATATGCACAACTATGCTGATAGCAGAGTGAAATCAAGAATAAGTCTTTACAACCTAACAACAGAATTGCTGGAACTGGAAGAACCACCCTACATTTTAAACTTTGAATCTTGAATTTTTATCTAATACAAGACTGAGATGCTAACCTATTATCCCCTTCCATCTGAAGTAGACCGTACTACAATAATACACAAATCGTAGTGAAAAGGTGAGTGACCCAGAATTCCAGCTTGTGTGAGTGGAAAACAACATCCCTGTCCAGTGACATGACTTTAGGAATACAATATTCTGTATATATTATTTGGTGTTTGGCTGCTGCTCCTGAAACAATATTGACAGCTGGATCTTTTTAGTTGTTTGGGTGTGTGTTTTTTTTAATTCCCCCCCCCCTCCCCGACGTTTCATAGGGGAGAGAACTGTACTGTTTAAGACAGACTGTGGATGTGTATGTGTTTGGGGAGCTGGAGGAAAGAATGACAGTATCTGATGAAACACATATAGACCAACACTGCATACGGCTGTGGCAAAAAAATGTTCTCCAAGCTGATAAAACACTAAAGTTTCGTTTAAAAATCTCATGATTTCTATATCCTCTGTCAGACTAGCCAGATACTCAATAATGGGAGAGAAACAAGTGAGCAAGGTTCCCCTAGTGAGCCTAACTCCTTAGTGTTTCTACCTCAACTAAAAATTTCATTAATGGTTGTCATTACTAAGATAATAAGCACTAAGAGCTCAGCCTTGGAAAACACTGTTAAATTACTTAGCACTGAAAATAGTTCTGGCTCCATGAAAGCTCGTGGCCAAAAGCAATACTGCAGCTGGCCCTGGAAATACAGGAATCACAGACCCTGTGTGCCTGCCTGGTCTCAATACTGAAGGGAGAAGAGTGGTGTAGACTTAGAAAGGCTGAAAGGCAGACAGACCTTTTGGAGTCCCACAACTTTTTGGGGACTATGTTTTTTCATTTACCACAAGGTGTGAACTGGATTGGAGATCATAATTTGTCTAATCACATGTCTAAAGAAATCAGTTATCTTAGGTCCTAGGGAGGATCTGCTCTTCTCTATCACTTTCAAAAAGAGGATTTGGCTGCTTATTTTGCCCCTAGGATTTCCTGTTCTTTACAAAGAATTTGAAACAGCTCATAATTGCTTACATCTTGTTAGTGCTGTCTTACTGTTCTGCTATTCATAGTAGTGTCATGAGCCTTGTTGCTCCTACTTGTAAGATGACTTCCAATAAAGTCACAGACAATATTACTGTATTACAAACTAATCTATTTAGCATATAAAATATTGTAGGAATCGTTATGAATACAGTGATCATTAATCTTATACCCTACCCACATTCTTAACATCTTTCATAGATGTTTTTCATATTAACACTTATTATTAAAATTGTATTAGAATGCAACATTAATTGGCCTTCCCACCAAAAGCATTAAAATAATCTACCGCTGGTGGCACAGGAGCCTTCCCTCAGAACACAGAATCATAATTTTCAATTACTTAAGACATCTGTTTAAATGTGTACTCCTCTGAGGGGTTGTGAAACATAGGTCAGGAGATTAATTTTAACAAAACTCCACTTCAAATAAAAGAGAAAAAGAGAAAATGTAATGGCTTATTATAATATTTGCTATTATAGGTAACAAAAGTGTACACGAGTATAAATTTGCCATTATAGTTAATGTAGACTAGAAACTTTTTCCAGTTTAAAGATTTCATGTTCATACTAGGACCCAAAAGATGCATATGCTTTAAACACTTAAGTTGCCATTTTTCTGAGACATCTGAGACCTTAATGAAAGTCACTCGGTATGTTATATCTGGGCACAGAAACCTTCATATGTACCTATTACTGAATGATACATGAGATTATTTTCATGCATTAGGAAAGAGAACACATGTGAAATAAAACCTGATTACAAAACATATGGAAAAGAGCATGTTACCTGGACATGATGGACAACACTGCCCTGGATGTATGGTGGGGTTGCCACAGTTAGGAACAGGGCAGGTGATCAAGGCACACATTTCCCGTCCATTGTGACAGTAACATTCCCTGCAGCCATCGTGCCAACTCTCCTCGTTCTCATGTCGGCGCCCATCCATTGACAGGCAAGAGCCTGTTTTAATGGGAGGCATAAGAGAAGTGGTTGCCTCTGCACAAAATCAAAGGAAAATGAAGTGTCCTGATAAGCATGTGTTGCTTAGTTAAAAAACCACACCAATTTAATGCCTGGATTGCATTTATTTTTAAAGCACATATAAAATCAAATGATTAATTTTTCTATCATTTACGCTTAGAAATAAAGTAACAATACCCATGAAGCAATTAAAAGGTATACTGAAGGGAATGGTAGAATGCAGTAGAATGGGTTTTCTTGGAAAATATCATCACTTCTGTTGCACCTATACTGTTTTTAATCATAGAGAAAAGCATAACTGGCTAAATTATATAAGAAAGGAGAGAAATGCAATGGAGGGAAATAGCAGAAAACATAAAGTATACTTAAAATGAAATATTTAAATATCAGTGTATTAGGTTATCTATAATATGAGTATCTGATAGCAAGTAGAATATAAAAGCATTTACAAGAGCTAAGGATGGTCATATCATGAATGACAAAAAATTATAAGCAAGTTCTAATGGGGTCATGCTAGATGCTGGAAATATTTCAGAAAACACTTACTTATGAGAAATTATTTGCTTACATTACTATAATAAATGAGATGTCTGGAAGATAACTGCTCTGACAGTTTTATACCTCATTCCTGGCTTTTACTGAGATGAGAATCTTGGACTGCTGCTTTATTTACATTCAGCCAGAACACACAAACAGTTGATCTAGGGAGGATAAAGTCTCATTTATATCTTAAGGAGTATATAAGTGCTGCAGGATTCAGCCTCAATAAATTCTTTGTTAATCAGCAGAGTGAATTTAAAGCCCAACACTCCCTCACCCACATCACTATGATGATGAAGGATTTAGGACCAGTTTGCCAGTGAACTGACTTGTTTTCAGTGGTATGTCAACCATGTTCTGTTGACACTTATAAGGTTATTTGTATTAAGCTATTAATTTAATTTTCTGTTTAAAAATGATGCAGTATGAAAAGTAGTCATGTTTATATGTGATTTTAGTAAGGTTTGGGTTTTTTTTAAACTAATATGTAGGTCAGCGCTTCTTCAGCTGTGGCAGATCTATCAAAGGTGGTCTAAGAACCACAAGCAGATGGTACGAAATTAGTTTGATGCACGTTATCAGAAAGGAACCCAACACATAGAAATTACATGAGTATACCATTTTTTAATTAAAAAGAAAAGCCACGGCATAAGGATAAGATACTTCTTAAAAGAGATTTCATCCTCTTGCACAAACAGAAACACTATGAAAAAATTCAGTTACTACACATTTGTATGTATCAGATTATATATTAAATCCTATCATTGGAATACTATCCTATATTAAAATGGTTTTCCATACATAAACACCTTAGATGGCAATACCCTCCCCTCCTTCCTTAATAAACAAAGTATCTCATGTAATCAAGCTTTTTTTCCTGAAATATTATATACTCCAAAATTTGGAGAAACCAACAAAGCCTATAGACAACTATTCAAAATTAACTGCACAAACTACAGTGAGCCCTCCCCGTCTTCCCTATAGCCCCCCTTCAAGTACTGGAAAGCCACTATAAGGTCTTCCCTAGCCTTTTCTTCTCCAGGCTGAACAACCCCAACTCTCTCAGCCTGTCCTCATAAGGCAGGTGCTCCAGTCCCCTGATCATCTTCATGGCTTCCTTTGGACCCACTCAAGCAGGTCCACATCCTTCTTATACTGGGGGCCCCAGAGCAGGACACAGGACTCCAGGTGGGGTCTCATGAGAGCAGAGTAGAGGGGGAGTATCCCCTCCCTCGACCTGCTGTCCACACTTCTCTTGATGCACCCCGGATACAGTTGGCTTTCTGGGCTGTGAGCGGACATTTCCAGCTCATATTCAGTTTTTCATACATAAAGAAACCAAATACCCAAATACAAAACGGGAATAACTGGGTAACTGGAGGTATGGTTGAAAATATCTAGGATTATAGTAGCTCACAAGTAAAAACACGTCAGTAATGTGATACCACTGCAGAAAAGGCAATTTCAATCTAAGTTAAAAGTACCGGAGCACTGTAAATTTAAATGCAGTACTACTATCTCTTCTAGTTAGGTGCTTTTGGTACTGCTAAAGTACAATATCCATTTTTTGAACTGCGATGTGACACCAAAATAACTGGCTTTGAGTTGGGAAAAAAACTCCAAATCAAATAAACCCAAAAACCACTTAGGGCGCTCCAATAGCAATCTCTTAAATTTTGCAAGAATTCTAAAGGGGATGGTGCTTAGCTCTTCCATGTCTAGTGATCTTAGGACAAGAAGTAACTGGTTCAATTTGCAGAAGGAGAGACAGAAATATTAGAAAATTTATTTTAAATTGTCACATATTGGTAACTACAGGAGAACATTATTTTAGAGAGGGTTTGGTTTTAAGTGTGTTTTTTTTTTCTTTTTGAGAGTGGTGATTCTTAATCAATTAAATCTTAGACAAACATCTGTCAAGGATTATCTAGATACACTCTATTTTATGCAAGAGCAGAGGAATGGACTAGCATTTTTCCAGAGGACTACCCCAGCCCTATACTGTTATGGTTCTACTTTTACTAATCCTAGCATAAGCTATTTCTGGCAGAAGCAATTTAGAAAGTGGAGCTACTTCACAGGCAGGGGATTTACCCATCCCTTCCTCTTAGGGGTTTCGGGTCAAAATTTTAACAAGGACTCACAGCTCCCCCAGAACATACTAGTGATTGCTCTAATTATTCTTGGACAAGTTGATAATGAAGTTATGTTGAAGCAATATGCTCATGGCTTCATATCTTTATGATCATGGTAAAAATAAAGACTACTTAGAGAGGGATGAAGTTACTTTTGCTAAATATTTGTGTATATTTTAAAATCCATCCTTGTTAAGGAAAGGACTTAGAAGTGTGCATACACAATTAGTAACTAAAGAGTTGTATCTGTTTATAGTCTGGGATGCAGTTATGGCACTCCTGAGAGAACACCTTGTGTGTATCACAGCATCACAACAATCTGGAAAAGTGTGTTAATTGAGAACATGGAGACAAATTACAAGATAAGTGATGAGAATTTTCTTGACTGGACTCCTTTCAGCAGTCACCCTTTTTATTTAATTTGAAAAATGTTTATTTGCAGTAAAAAGTCATATTGCAGCTTCCGTCAGTGAAACCTCTCTACCTCTCATAACTGCAAGGTACTTTTGTAATATTTCCATTTTTTTTTGCCAGAAGTGTTAAAGTTTTATTATAATGGTCTGCAGTGTATGATGTCACGTGTAGAAATTATAATTCCAGATCCTTCTGATTTATATGATTCCATGTCTGCCTTCAACTGCAGGAGAGTGACTTCAGAAACTCACTTTTTTCCAGTCCCATGTTGGCATATCCTGTCTTACTATATTTTATATTTTTTTTAAAATGAAAAGGAAATAGCTGCTAAAAATGTTAAGAATGGAGTCATTACATAATGCAATGTGTATACTCAAATACTTAAAAGTTACTTGTCTATAGCTAGAAATCAAAACACACAAGTAAGAATGAAAGAAAAGTATGAAAGAGCAGTCAGAGAGAGCCTGAGCACAAACAAAAAGTTATTAAATGCAACACATGGAGATAAGCAATGAAGGAAGTCTGATACCCAGACTAATACAAACCACTATCTGAAAATATCTTAAAAAAGAGACATGTTAAAAGCAGCACAAAACTAAAGCATACAACTAATGAACATCTTACCGCAATCACCATCAAACTTGGTGTTACAAGTTTGGGATATGGCATGTATCAAATCTTTAGCTTAAGAATACCCCATCCTTCCTCCTGGGTAAGGACTCTCTCTACTCAATGTTCCTCAAGACTACCTGATGTGTCCAAGAAACAGCACTCTAATTTTAGGTGGTGTACAGGGCATCTATCAAATTCAAAATTTGACTTTGTACAGAAAAGATGATGGCGAAGAAGCTAAGATAAACACTGCTACTGAAAAAAACCCTTCTCAAATAGCTTATTTCTAGTAGATAAGAGCCTGATCTAATTTTTATTAATGATATTAAACTGACTTTTGTAATTTGTAATGGGAGATGAAAGAGGAGCTGAAGCTTTCTGCTGAAACCAAGATGAACACAGATAATAACAAACACCCACAAAACAAAACACCCCTTTGAGCATAGTTGAACTGACTCCCCCACCAGTATTTAAATTCTTACAGTTTCTGTGCTGTTCCTGTGCTGTGCTTCTTCCCTCTTCTTTTGCTCTAGCTTCCAACTACTATGAAAACATGTTGTAATTAGAGGTGGTAATGCACTCGCACGTACCTCTGCACTTGCAGATAACACAGCCATGATTGTTCTGCTGGAAGCCCATCGGACAGATTTTACCACAAGGCAGTTCCGGGCATTTCTTACACCGACAGATTTCACATCCGTGCTTGTTCTTCCTAGATAACCAAAATAATTTGTAAAAGGTCAGCTAGTCGCTTTGAATATCTACATGTCGTGATCTTTAAAGCAAAAGCATCCCCTAAAGAAGTGACTGATCAAGTAAAAAAAAATGATTGTTTACTGTCTCCCTTAGGTTCAGTGGGTCTGTGTGGTATACAGGTCTCCATCCTTGGTGTGTGGTCCCTCCAGGTAACTCTCTACATTTGGTAATTTCAAGCCATAGCAGGTAATACAGACTTATGAGCTTGTGACTACTATTGATGATCAGTTCTTTTTTTCAAGTGAAAAATAGAATAACTTCTAAAACTGTGAAGAATGCAGAGGATAAGGTAGGAATCTGTTATAATTACTATGTTTTTATAACACTGTTAACTGCTTTCCTCCAACAATAGGTAAAATACAGTAGATTTCCTCTCTTGCATATTAAAACTACAGAGATATTTCAAAACCTGTTAAATAAGCAGACACAAAGCTTACTTGAAAACTAGCATGTGGAATGCCAATAATCCAATTTAAAAACTAGCACACACACAGTAACATGTTTTGAAATTGGAGAAACCCAGAGAATTTTTCAGCAGAGTAGAGAGAATCGAGAACAAAAATGCTTCCAAAGCTTCCAGGTGAAGCTAGGCAGGAGTCTAGAGCACCACCTGAGAGCATCTCTTCACAGCACCCTAAACATGCTGCTTCTGAGAATCCTATTCTGAATCTTTGCTTGTCTTTTTTCAGAAAGACAGATAATACTATTCAAACTTTAGGTACAAGTGTACTAGTTCCCATTATTTACAGATAATCTTCTGTGCCTTCAAAAGGTACAGGGAAAAAAAATTGTGATGAAGTTCAAGACAAAGAAGGGATAAAAAACAATAAATGATTTTCATGAGTCTGCTCATTTCATATTGGTCTAATGTGGTAACTCACTAAAACTGGGAAAAAACATTTATTGGGAAACTGACAGATCCCTCATTTAACACTACACCATTAAATGCACACCAATTCCCCCCAAAACAAAGACAAGACATGAGGAAGTTAAAGAAGCACATCTACATTGATAGAGAAGTAGTAAATCATGTAAATCTCTAGAAAGCCAATCATGACACAGTAGGATGGAGAATGGAATACTCTCTGTCCTATCCATTTTTTCCTCCTTAATCTCCATAACTACAGCCCTTTTAATATTAAGAGAAATGCTTCCTTCTATTAACATGTAGAGCTTTCAAACCGTGAACTCTATTCAGCAGTTTTTTTCAGACAATTGTGAAAAAGTTTTGGTTTCTTTAAGGATGCACAAGCTCAAAATTTCCCAAATACTAACCTTTGACAATCTTTAAACAAACAAACAAAAACCCCTCACAAATATGATTATCAGTACTTAACTTTTCATTTTCTAATATACTTCTAATACTTTCTTCTTTAGGCTCCTATTTGTGACAAAAGCTTTTAAATTACATTAGAGATTTGTCCTCCATTACATCCCATGCTTTTGATGGTCATAACAGGCTTGTAAGTAGATAAGGCTTGCTATTTTAGAAAAGAAATTGGTATGGTAGAAGTGAAGAACTGAGCAAATGTACTACACAACTGCAAATCTAAATAATTGTAGCAACAAAGTAAGACTTGAAGTGAAATGATCTTCAAGTAGTCTTTACTACAATTTTAGACTTCTATACTACAAACTGTTACATACGTTGTTATCTTTAAATGTTATTAATTTCATTCAGTGCAATTATTCATATATTTGGTAGACAGTGACAAGATTATAGAGTTCTCATTTCCGTGTTTTTTTTTTTTTTTTTTTTTTTTTAATACAATAATCTTGAGACTTATTAAACACTCATTTAAAAATACCAGCCAAATAATGTGCATAATTAAATTACATTCTACATTTAAAACCAGAATTTATATTGAAGATTATTTTCCCATTAGCTTAAAAAATTTTAAAGCTCAATTTTTTTCAGGTGTACAAAAATGCAAGGGAAAGATTATCCCCTTTTGAGACCTTAGGACAGGCTTCCTAAAACACTAGCATCAGCTTGAAATCAACTTGTTTTTAAAACATCTTTATCTTACTCCCAGCTACCATACTATGCCCATTAATATTTGGTGTAATTTATAAAATGGTGTCCTGGTTCAGCTAGGATAGGGTTAAGTTTCCCCAGCAGGGAGGGGGAAGGGATCTCCAGGCAAGCTATTCATACCATGCTGATGTCAGGTCCAGCATGGCAGCATGGGAAGCTTTCCTTTGTGGCTTTGGTCACGGGAAGCATGGGGCTGTCTGTAACCATTGCGGTATCTCTCTGTATATCTTTTGTCTTGTTTACTGTTATTACTGTTTTTTGTTGTTATCATTGCTATTGTTGTTGTTGTTCAGATTGCTTATTACACTGTTGTATTAAATTTCTTCTTATTTTAACCCGGGGTTTGCGCTCTACTTGTGTCCGAGGGTGAGGAAGGGACAATGGCAATGTGGTCTCTGGTCCTGGCACGGCTTAAAACCATCACAAATGGTTTTGCTATATAGTTCACAGATTTTCTAATAAAACTGTTTCATGAACATTTAGTTAAAGAGAAACAGTGTGTTTTCTAAGTACAGAAAACACATACAGAAACCTGTAATTTTCCTCTGTAGGTCAATATATTAAATGAGTCATAGATGGAGGAAAAAAATTACTACTCTTTACAACAGTGTGATTCTGCAAGAGGCTGAACATTATCTTTTTTATAATGCTTTCTGTTTGAAGATGGTTCAGTGCTAGTCCATCGGGTAGTCCTCACCTGTGTTTTTTTTTTTCCACTGACCTCCTACAACTCCTCTGATCAGACATGGTATGATGGGGTAGACAGTATCCCTTGGACTGGGGAGTGCCTATGAAAGTCATTAAATGGTCCAGATCTGATATTCTTTGAGTCAGTGTCTGATCAAGCTGTCATTTTATCATGTCTAGGACTTCAAATGAATAGTTGCAAATTGCAAGATTCAAAATTTATGCTTTTAAATTTTAACCTGTTTATCATTTTTCTCCCTTTTCACTAAATCCCAAATGCTTAGTTTCTGAAGATCTGGGTTTTCATTTTGAAGTGTATTACTCCGTAATTTTAGTATTCCTCAGGTGTACAAAGTAAGCCTAATAAAGCTATGAAATAATTTTTTTATATTTAAATATATTTTTCTAAATTTTTCCTACTCTTATGTGACAGTAACACACAATTTCTTAATTGGCTGCTTTCTTCACGAGTTTAGAAATTCACCTGGATATGTGCCTGAAATTTGTGTCTTGTACGATTATCCTTGACACATGATCGACACTGAAAAATACCTGCACCTAGGACTAAGCATCTCTCTAGTTAAAGTTCTTTTGCAGCTCATGTACAATACTAACAGGCATTTATTTTTCTATCTTTCTCGGAAACTGAGACATCAGTTCTTTATTACAGGAAAGCATTCCAGCAAAATGAATGACTTGATTATTTTCTTTATATAAAGCTAGGCTCATCTATCTTTTTTCTCTTCAGTCCTCTTTGATTTCCATTCAGAAGACTGAATCATTTCTGGGTAGACAGACAGCATTAAAGCAAGCTTCATTTTTGCCCACATGAAGAAGATGGCATGGACACCTTTTCCCCATACAGTCACCTAGATTACTATTGACACATCCCACAAATTTATTAACCTTTATTACCTTAACTGCTTAGGCACAAGTATCAGCAGGATGATACGCATAGATCACACAAACTAAAGGGACTCTATAGGTCAAGAGGATTGCACTCAAACACAGAAAATCAGTTTATTAAGGTGCAAAGTATATTAGGCTCCCTTCTTGGGTTCTTATCTTTTGCATTTTAGAAACTTCTCCTTTAAGGTCTTTCAAAACGATACAGGCACATCTCACCTAAAGTTCAACAAGAGAAGGCCAATAGCATTATTTCAGATTTTTTTGTTGTTGTTCAAAAAGGTATTCTTGATAATTTATACTGGTGTGTCAGAGTATAACCCTTAACATCATAGGTCAAATTCACTGCAAACTGAGGGTCATCTTCCCATTATACAGAAGGATCTTTTTCATCTTCATTTAAAACTTTCTGTAGAAAACCAATTAAGTCACAGTTCATGAGAGAGACCATGAAAGTCAGATCTCTCAAACTAAGTAACAAGTTTCTGAATTAATCAAAGTTCATTAATGCATTAATTAATAAAGTTTATATGGAACAGCCAACTTCACTGCAAAGCTAACAATACTAAAAAGTAACATAGAAGAGAGAAACCTTTGCTTAAGAAAATAAAAATCAGAAGTGGCAGAGTAAAAATATATGTAAGCAGAAGTAAGGGGTGTATCTTTACTGAAATCCAAGGAAGAAAACAGGACCAAAGACAATACTATTCTTTTTAGCAGTTATACATGGTCTGGTCACTAATGAAGTAGACTTAAATCAAGAACATTACTGCCAGTCACACACACTGGGAGAACAGGCCCAGGAATAGAAATTTACTGTCTTATCTTAAAAGAACATTGGCTTTTTCCAAAAGATTTGGAATTTTTAAGGTAAAAAAAAATTATTCAGTTCACTATAGGTTATTAAGGTCTCTAGTATGTTCCATTTAAAGTTGTAAAAATACTGTCCACTTTAAACAAAAATTACAGTTCAGTATAACCAAACCAGACAAACCTGCTCACTATGTGAAACAGACTATTTCTTCCTGAATACATGTTACTGGGAAAGGTACTGTACAAAAAACCTAAAAGAATGTAACAATAAACACATTTACACAAACAAAACACATTAACAGTAAATGACTTTGGTAAGCACAGTTCAGAACAATCCTTATCAGCAGTAGAAAAACATTTTTAATATTTCAGTGTGATATCTATATTGGGACAGCCAGTGAAGAAAACCAGTAGTAGTAAACTGAATGAAACCAAAAGAAGAAACAAACCCGACTGATTTCGATACCACAGAATAATCAAAGACTAGAGCTAGCTGGAATGGAAATAAACACTTGGACCTGGGTTCATGAATATATTCAAGCTATTTCTGTATAAGTCCAAAATGCTAAAAGACATTAAATAGACCTTATTTGGTGGTTTTCTCATATTAGGACTTTGCAATAGGCTAAAGAAATGGCCTTGAAAATAATTACTTATGCACTTGTAATATTAAAATTAAAAAAGCTTTCTCTGTTCCAAACTGTACAAAACCAATCACATGGAGTAAGCATTAAAAAATTCTGTAATTCATACCAACTGTCTCTGATGTTATACAAGCACATGCATGAACATACTCCTTGAGCATGTGGTTCAAAATGTCTTTTCAGATTCTGTCCTGATAACTTTACGTTATTGACCCTGATATAGACAATAAATTAAGAGCTACAATATGGAGAATGTATAAACACCAAGATCTAATAGCCTTAGTGTGCCCTTTAAATACGATGTTAGATTAATTCATTGAGTTTATAAATCAATTTGAAAAAAAGAACCAGTAACTGAGTATCGATAACGGAAATTAGTGCTGAAAACAGAAATATAGAACAGAAATGAAATGTTCAGATACACAATCTGGACACTGCTGAAGTCACACCTTGTACTTGGTATTGAAGACTCATTATGTATCGTGGACAAAAAAGATGGCTTCCATGTTTGTTGTAAATAGCAATTAAATATATTCTGATGGCTATTAGTCAGAATTTTTCTCTCTTCTCTGTCAAAGTTCAAAATCAAATTTAAGCTAGGACAAATTATTTCAGTGTCCCTTGAGAAATGGTTACACCGTATGAGGACTATATGACAATTTCCAGTAAATGCTTGAATACAGTGTACTCAGCACTGGTGAAGCCACAGCTTGATTCCTGTGTTCAGTTTTGGGCCCCTCACTACAAAAAGGACATTGAATGACTCGAGTGTGTCCAGAGAAGGGCAACAAAGCTGCTGCAGGGTCTGGAGCACAGGTCGTACGGGGAGCGGCTGAGGGAACTGGGGGTGTTTAGTCTGGAGAAGAGGAGGCTGAGGGGAGACCTCATCGCCCTCTACAGCTCCCTGAAAGGAGGTTGCAGAGAGCTGGGGATGAATCTCTTTAACCAAGTAACAAGCAATAGGACAAGAGGGAATGGCCTCAAGTTGCACCAGAGAATGTTTAGACTGGATATTAGGAAGCATTTCTTTACAGAACGGGTTGTTGGGTGTTGGAATGGGCTGCCCAGGGAGGTGGTGGAGTCCCCATCCCTGGAGGGGTTTAAGAGTCGAATCAACACAGCGCTGAAGGATATGGTATAGTTGGGAACTGTCAGTGCTTGGCTAATGGTTGGACTAGGTGATGTTCAAGGTCTTTTCCAACCTAGATGGTTCTGTGATTCTGTAAATTGTATTTCTTTATTGCTGTTGTCTCATCCCAGCCATCCTTCCTGCTGATTGCACTGTGGAGTTCTGACAGCTTCAGACACCCTGACACTATTTTGCTCTTTGACCACCTTTAAGAGACCTTATCTTGGATTTTGAGCCTGATCAATGGCATGGCTCAAACTTCACTCTCCCCAGATGCTTTCTAAAGAATTCTGCATGCTTTGTACTTCTTTTACTTGACTTCAGTCCTTTGATAGATAATGTAAACAGCTTTATCCTATCTAAAAAACTGAGACATAACCAGTCATTTTTTCTGTTCAATCTTTCAGATTTCTTTCATTCCGCTACCGATCTTCAGCCATCATTGCCTTTGAAGCCACTGGGCAAAACTTCTGGGGACAACAAAACTGCATCCCTTTTCTGTAACTTTCCTCCTGCTCTACTTTCTCTCACTTACAAAACTGAAAATAACTCTCAGCCCCTCTTACAGTCAACATGCCTGAGGATAAATTTATTAATGTTTTAATTTAAAATTCTTACTTTTCCTCTCTCATCTACTAAAATTTGAATTTTGGGGATAGAAGTGAAGTTTTATTTAATCTTTGATGTCTGATTTTGTCCTGTTTCAATTCTACCACTCATGACTGCTGTTTCCTGCAAAATCTTCCACTATTTAACCAGAGGCAAGCCTAATTCTGTAAATAATATGTACTGGTAAAACATATAGAGAAGCCACTAGACTGATAACTAAGAAATTTCTATGTGACAAAAGATCTGCCCAGTTTTTGTCTATTCATTTGTTTGACAAATGAATAAATAATGCACATATTCCTTTTATGGAGAAAGAACTCCAGCAACAGTAAAGGTTTTGAACACATTTAAAAAAACTTAGATAAGAGATGGTGCTGTACTTCATGAATCCTGTAAAGTGACTATCAGAAATCTCTCACTAAAACTAGTCTGCTGTCACATCAACATTAAAAAAACCTTGAAATAATAGAAATCACATTAATAAAATAAGTGGACTATAAAATGAAAGGGCATCACAGCAGAACATGCAAACATGATTTCAAAAAAGCTACCTGTAAGAGACATTATTTGTAAATAGTTTTATCTTGTTCGTCAAATATTCTTCAAAAACATTTAAGCACTGCTTCGGTTTTGTAATCTGCCTTTGTGTTTTTTAGCTACTGTTTCTTAAACTACTGATCAAAATCCATTTTGAAGAATACTTCAATCTCACATCAAGTAATGACATTTCTGTTTTCTTACATTTCCCCTGGTTTGCCACAAAGTAAACATAAGTGTATATGCCTGGATTTTGCATATTTTCTATATGTACAGGGATTACATTAAATATGCTTTCAGAATGAGAATACGTACAAGTATCCAAAGGGACAGTACTTGTCACATACAATGGGTTTGCACTTCTTAGGCCGTGGTCGGCACTGACAGATCTCACAGTTGTGGATGTCAGTCTGGAAGCCGAAGGAACAGTCCAAGGAACAGCCCGAAATGAGGCCAGTGCACAGCTCCTCCCCTGCAAAGGACACATACAGGTTATCACAACATGAAAGCTGTTTATACCAGACAAACGCATCTTTAGCAGACTAAATCTTCTGTTCCCTTTTACTTCATAACTTTTAAAATACTGGTAAGCCTTACCTTTGACTGTTCTAATTTTAAAATATGCAACAGAATTCTCTAGTAAGGACCTAAACCATACGAGCAGGCACTACAGGATGTTTTCAGTTCCAGTCAAGAACTTGGGGAGTACTACCTGGTACCCTAATGTAACATGATTTTATGAACAGATTCACAGCCAAAGGAGTCCAACATCCAGAACACTGTTGGCCTTTAATAAAACATTTAAAATAACACACACTTTGAAACATCATATGGGTTTATTAGATTTCTGTTCAATATAGAGCATCTTTACTTCTCCTCCATTTATTTTAAACAGAACTGAAAGGCCAGGATATATTAACAGCAAACAGCATAAAGAATAAAAGTTGTCAGCTATTTGGTGATTAAGATCCGCTTTTTAAAAGTATAAGCCTAGAGATGCTAGACTAAAAGACCTATCTCTTGAAGTCCATTACCATGTTTTATCAGCCTCTTCTAGTGTAAGGGAGATACTGGATTGCTGGCATCTCATTTTCTCCAGTACAGAGGTAACTAATGGTCATTACATTGACTCTCATTGGAATTTACTATTTTGCGAATGATCACCTTCTTTTTGTTCTTTCAAGATGATGTGCCGGAAAGACCACTCTTACCATACTATGGGATGCAAAGTTCATTTATTGGTTGTAGAGGTGAGAGGAAACGGAACATTATGATTTTTGTTACGCTACAGAAGCAAAACACAGTGGAAAATAAAAAAGGACCATCATTACAATAGCCAGTGAGATCAGAATAGAAAAAGAAGGAAATATAATTTAGATTCTTCAACAGAATAATACAATGGATGATATCCAAAGGGCTGACCTTCAGAGTGATATTTAAAGGATGGCTGATCTCCAGTTGAAACATCCACACCACTACAAAGTGCTGGTTATACAGAGGGTGGCTTAAGAGTGCTCCTCCAGATGTGCTTCTCATCTGAGCACTTAAGACCACCTTCCTTTAGGGGTATGAACATTTAGGGACAGGGTTTTTCCAAAGAGGAGATCAGAACGTTGACTTATTCTGTTCCTTACACTACTTCTGTGGGTCTGAAATTTAAAGATAATCTTCATGTCTGTAACATGGTAATATACTGAAGGTAGACTACAAATGGAATCTTAAATGCATTCTCTTCTGTTTTTGTAATGCTGCATTTAAAACAGCAAAATATAGATTTAACCAGATACAGCTAAGTTAAGTGTTTCCTTATATATTCTTCTAGCTTAATGCTCATTTGGTAAAGAAGGTATATTTCTTAGCACCTCACAGTGAGACTGAATCCTTGGAGAAAACTGACAAATTCACTGCTTACTTCTCTGGTGGAATTTGGGCATACAAGTGCAATGCAATATGAGAGCATTATTATCCCCAAAACCAGCTCTCAGTTAAGAAAGATGAAGATCAGTAGGTTCATGGCTCCCACCTCTCCATTTTTAAGCAAATTTGGTGTCTGAAGCCAAGACGGTGCAAGTTTTTTGTCATTCAGAATACAGAAAAAGAAATGCCATATCCTTATACAACCTCTAGAGGTTGTCTTTGTCAGAAGAGTGCCAATGCCACAAGGTTTAAGCATTTAGTCTCAGACAGATGTAACCTTTACACAGTAATGGTAAACCTTATCACAGAAACACATATACAAAGATCTTAATGAAGTCTTGCAAATTTTTGAAGGATAGAGTTCAGGATGATCTATCAAGAATACTAGATCTTTTAATACATAGCCACTAATGCTGATTTAAAAACATAATACAGAGGAAACTCTGATACTCTCTCTTGTAAAGAGTGATGTACATGTAACACAAAAAGACCTTCCTTAAAGCAAGTTAAAATAAAGTCTTTAATTGATGAGGTTTTACACTAGGATGCTTGTAAACTATTATTCCCTGACAGCATATAGTAATAATAAAATTAACTAAACTTTTCATTATGTATGAATTTATAAGGTAGTAATAATTTTTAAAGTTAGACTTGAACTTTAGAAATGTGTGGAAAAGTACACCTACACTGGAATATCTCCAAAAAGAACAAAGTTCAGTTATGACCTTTGATATGAGTTATGCTATCTCCTGCAGATAATCAGAACCGATCAGTGAATAATCCCAGAATTGCACAGGTTGGATCAATAAAAACCATTCATTTTCTGAAGCATACTCTGTCACAGAGATGAAGTGTTTAGGTGGCTGTCCATAAACATCAGGGTCACAGAAGACAAGTCAAGGAACAGGAAGGTATAAATGCAAAGGCATGGGATAAATTAATGGGAATCTTCTTTAAAAAGTGAAAGGAAGAGCTGGAAATAATAAAAAAAAGAATCTAAAAAAATAGAAACAGCAAGAAGATTTTTTAGCTGGCATTTTTCTTTATCTTATTTGTCTCTGGATTATATGTTAAAGAGAGCTATCAAAGTGCAACACCAAGGTTTGAGTATGAAGTTATGGAAGATGGCAAAATAATGACTCCTCAGAATCCCACAGTCAAATATGTCTGCTTTCAGTCTTCGGCTTTGATTTGGTCAGTGAAACTGCTTTTTGAAAATGCAAAACAAGTCTATGTGTAACGTTAATATACCTTATTAAAAGGGTCAAGGTATCTAGGACAGTGCTATACAAGCAGGAAGACAGTGTCTCATCCCAAGTAGCTTAGGATGTTAAATATACTTAAAACTCAATTTATCAGCTGACATACTAACCAGAAGATCCAATCTCAAGGCAGTCTCTTCCTTGCTTAATCCTTTATATAGCAAGTTATCCTCAGAAAAATGTTCACTTTGTAAGTTGCCAGGAAAGAAAAGATCTTCAGAGCCTTGGGATGAATGACAGACTAACCACCACTGCCTCTCAGGAATGGACACTGAAGAGTATACAAAATATCATCGAAATCCTGGCTATGTCAATGGTACAGGGAAAGTTTGCTGAAGTCAATACAGACCACTGTAAGTTCACATCTGAACTTACTAGTGTTATGCCAATGCTGTATGAGGAAATTGGAATAATCTCCACAGACTTCTGTGACAGTCTTTCTAATAAGATGCTAAAAATTATGCCTTCTGAGAAGATGGATGTTACTAAAATTAACATGTTATCATACTTCTGATAGTATGTCATTACAAGCTGTGGAAATAGATCTTAAATAGTTTTTGAAAATTCTCTATGAAAAAGTTTAGTGTCATCAAAATCAGAAAGTGAATTCTGGTCTACTTTCTGACTTCACATATAACCATCTAAATTTCTTCTACTGAACCATTATTAAAATTGTGACAATTAAAGGCAGTCTCAAACTGAAGTACTATCTGGTACACATATTCAGGCTGTATCTGCACAGACCTGTTGAAAACCCTAGTCCACGGTTTTAAACTACTATTTTTTTCAGAAAACAGAGTGAAACAATTTTAAAAGCAGAGTACAGCTCTCAGAGAAAGAAAGAAAAAAAAAAAAAAGATTGCAAGTCTAAAGATTCAAACGTGAATCAAATTCAGTGTATGCAATTGTCATCCTGACAGTATATCTCCAGCCTTAGCTATAGCTTTAAATTAATCATTAATAAAATAATCAAATACATTATGAAAGGATAGGTAAAAATATATTTTCTGCTAACGTTTTGCATTTCAAGTAACAAATACTAATAAAGAGAACTAGTTCATGAAAGTCATCTGCAGTAAACTGACAAAATTTATTATGACAATATCTTAGGAGGTTACATCTTTGAAGGCTTTTTCCACCTGCGTGCTTAGATAAATTTAATCAGGAACAGGAATCTGAATCCCAAATCATGGAATGTATTTGCAGACAAGAGATCCAGCCCTAACTGGGCTAATATGCTTTTGAAGCAGTTATCAGGGGTAATCAGACAGTCTGAAAGGAGAGGATAGGAAGCATTTTAAGAGCTAATGCAGAAGGGAAAACTAACTTTCAGAGTTTGAGAGAACTGCATTATGCACCTGCATGTCACTGCAGCACTAATAGAATGGGATCAAGCTTCTGATCACATAGCATAAGCTGTGTTTATTTCTCTGATTGATTAGTTATAATGCCATCAACTAAGGAACTAAACTAATGGTTAGATAGGAGGTAAAAGACTAAAACAGAAACAAAATAATGAACAGAAAACCAGTAAAAGGGAAGACATCTCTCATTGTACTGCTTAGGGAGATACCTGGCTAGAGAGCAGAGTTCTTCCCCATAAGTAGTAGAAATATGTTCATTCATTTTTCTTATGAAACATAGAATGTCAATGAGGTAATGTCAATACAGAAAACAATTCTTCTACACGAGGGAATAGGAGGGTTTAGGGATAAAAGAGCGGTGTGAAATGTAATACTGAAAACATATAAGGTTGTGTCACCCACATGGAATAAACAAGAATTTGCACTACAAGCTGATAATTCAGGGGCAGGATATTGGTTGATCTCAGAATGATACTGATGCAATATGAATTTAGATAAAAATGAATGCATTCCTGAATGTCTCAGGCTAATATAACTGTATTTTTACCACAAATACTTAGCCTTTTATTGTTAGGACTGACATTAGCTGAAATACCACATAATATTCTGGAAGAATTTAAACCGAATTACGTACAGCAGAAGGCTAGGACAATAATCACGGAAAGGCTGTCCTCAACCAACAGCATTATTAAAATTGCCTCCTGCTACGAATGAATATTCAGTCGAGGACAAATACGCACCAAATACTTAGAGCAGTAAATACATCTCACACAAGACCATGCAGTTTTCTTTTCCATGTGCAACCAGGACTGCAAAAGCAGCAAAGCCAGTTACCAACTGGTCCACATTTCTAGTCACAGGCTTTACTAGGCCTCAGTTATACTGGCAAAAACTATTGCTTATAGACTTTGACCCCTCTAAACACTGTA